ATAAGGAAAGAGATTATATCAAATCAAGAAGGACCAATCAAATTGATGTCTTCTTTTCCAAGACTCCCTCTCCTACACCTATAAATAGGCCTCTCCTCAATCCCACAAATCACACCTCAAACACCTAAAAAAATATCAAACACATCTCAAAGATTAAAGTCTCAAATTCAAGGGCTCTCAAGAACCCTCTTGAAGATTTAAAGAAGTTCTTGAAGAACCGTCCGAAGTCCATTCAATGAAGAAGGCCAAGAAGAAGAAAAAGAGGCGGCGACTCTTCCTCAAGAAGTAAAGAGACGACTTCCACACCTCTCAAGTCAATCCAAGAATATCAACGACGTTCAAGAGACATTCAAGCCCCATTCGTTGAGAAGTTCAACCAACATAGCGTTTGATTCGAGAAAAAGTTATCAAGCCCTCGAGTCAATGTTATTCAAGTCAAAGTCCCTCTTTCCAAAAGATCAAAGAAACAAGTTATCCAAGAAGTTGTCTTCAATCAAGTCAAGACCTAACATTTAATACACGGGAATAAGTTATTCGACCCCCAAATTAATGTTAGAGAATTTCAAGACCAAGCTCGAAGGAGGTTCAATCGTTAAATCCATCTTTCAAGATCTCAAACCCAAATCCATGAAGAGAAGAATCAGAGGAGATAAATAGAGATTGTACCTGCATATCGTTTGATCGAAATAAAATCAAGTTGTACATAAAGTTTTTTGTTTTTCATAAAACTTGTTGTTACAAACGTATAAAATTTTTTCGAAATTGTTTGCAATTTAACTCGGGATGCTGCTAAAAACTTATCTACTTTGAAAATCCGTTTTCTTAAAAACATGGTCTAACGACTGGTTTACATATAAGAAAAACAGATTTTAAATATTTAATCGAACAAGCATGTAGAATTAGAACCCGTTCATACTGGCAAATCGGGTAAAATCTTAAAGTTTGAAAATACGGACATGCAAGTTCAAAAGTGAAAAGCATAGCGGAAGTCTTAAAAGCATGGAATAATTATACAGACAATTTATTTAAAAGTCCTCAAATCGTGCGACTGGGCCAAATCCACGACCAATACCACCACAGCTGATCTGACAACTCTCTGCCGACCCTAGCATCTGAAAAACATGTAATAATGGGGTGTGAGCACTAAATCACCATGCTCCGTGAGAACCCATACTAAAGTAAATAGCAATAATAATATCAATATCATGATCGCAGGTATATGTAAGTAAACTGTAATCTCTCGGACACTCTGGCCGGGAACTCCCGGACACACTGGCCAATAACTGAATCTATAATCTCTCGGACACTCTGGCCGGTAATCGTGTGCACACTTTGATTGTATATGGAGGCAACTGGCCTCCACCCTAAGCGGATAACTCATATACATACCTTTGACATGATCTAGCTATTATAGATAATGTAAAACTTAGGCTGGGTCCCCACATGTTCTGCTTTGAAAAATTGTAAGTGTTGTGCTGGGTAGCTGACTCCTCAAGCTATGTAAAAATATAAACAAACAAATACGAAGTACTGGGCTCGTAATATGTTCAATAAGATGCTAGGATGCTCGACTCTATCCGATAACTTATCCAGATATAAAGGAACGCTCTAAGGGTTCGCTAAAATAATACTAAGCCCAAAAATTAAACTGATATGCTTAAACTGAACTGATTTGGATCGGAAAAATACTGAAATTTTGGAATAAGACTCGGATCGAAATACTCGAACCATAACTGACTCGAACCACCAGTCAAACCGGCCGATTCGCTGACTGGCCGCACCGATGGCTCGCTGTGGGCCGGGCGATCGGGTGTTGTTCGGACTGACCAGACTCGGTACCGCGCGTGCTGGTGCCCTGGCGCAGCTCTGGGCACGGCTGGGTGTGACCGGATGTGGTCCTGGGCACTGCTGGGCGCAGTCCAGGCACTGCTGGGCGCGGCCTAACGCTGCTGGCACGAGCACGGGCAAATTGGTGCCACTCGGGTGCTGCTGGGCACGACCGAGGTCGACTGGGCTCTGTTGTGCTTCTAGGCACGACTGGACTTGGGTCTGGCATGACTGGGTCAGGACAGACACTACATGGCGCGGCTCTGGCGCGGCTGGTGCCACTCGGGCGCTGTCGGGCGACCCTGATGGCACAGGGCACTCGGGCGTGCTGCCAGACACGACCCGAGGCCGACTAGACTTGGCTAACGCGACTCGGGTTAACCTTTGAACATATAAACTTAACCTCTGAACTTGCCTGAGCTGCTTGGCTAGGCACTGCGTGCGACGAGGTTGGCTAGGCGCTGTCGGGCACTGCCTGTACTCGTTGGGCGCGACTAGCGCCGATACTGCGCACGCGGACACTAACTGGGCGCTGTCGCGTGCGCTGGGGCTGCTGTGCATCGGGCCTACGGGGCGCGAGCACAGGACCAACTTAACCTCTGAAAACACAGACGACACTACGCGTGCTGCATACGCGCCCAGTAACCATGACCGGTTTTACCGTCATCCAGCAACTTTTCTGTTGACAATCAACTTAATCCAACATTAAATGATCTAAAACTCTTAAAAATGCCAAGAAACCCTAGCATGACTCAGTTGGATTTTAAAATGTTCGATATGGCCGATATGGCTCGTATGAATCCTAAGTCACCGAACAACATAACTTATCTTTAACTTTTGACCAAGGCCGAATCATTAGACATATAAATCATGAATTTAAAGGATTGGAGGCTTTTACTTGCATGCAACTTAAAATGACTCGGGAATGAAAATACGGTAAAATTCACGAGCTAGATGACCTGAGTACATGAACTCAAAACATGCTCAACTTTTACCAACATCATAAACATGATTTATAAGGAATTATGAGCTATCAAATTCGGCCTAAACATGTTTGCTACTAAAAATTCGAATTTAAGGCTTTAAATTTCATAAATTTGAAACTCTCTTTCTACTCGAGCAAAATATGATTTCTCTACATGATACATCTTAAAATATCATGTTATAGCTGAGAAAGAAGGATGGCACGAGCTAACCTTCACCGAAGTCGAAAATGAGACTCAAGTCCCTCACTCGGGTCTCCTCGGGTCGCTAAGTCGTAGATATTAATTGTCATCTATCTCCTCTCGGTCTCAAGGTGAATAACTAGCCCACATAAGTTCCTAGAATTTACGTTCTACTATATTTTTGTGTTAAATTTGTAGTCTTTTTAATATCAATGTGGTTGTAATTTTTTTCTAAAAATAATGATATTTATCATAAAAAATACCCAAATATAATACATAAAATTATTAGAAAAATTTAATTACAATATCTCTATTATACATATAAGAAGATACTGAGGACCAATTGTGGGCTTGACACGTGCCCTTTTTGGACACAAAAGCCCTTTCTTTGATCCTTTATTTACAGTTTTGCCATTGAGTATATTTTTTTCCCTGGTAATTACAAAAAAATGTCACTTGACTTTTATCTATAGTGGGAGAGGAAATATGTTGGCCATATCTTTTCTGCTCTTTCGTAGATTTCGTGCTGTAAAACCTGGGTTCTCTATGTCTCAATCTAATGTCGTATTCATCAGATCTAAAAATCCTCTTCAAAAATCATCTATCCTCTCCAAAAATCTTCTCCCTCATATCTAAAAACAAAAAAAATAAAATGAAAGCCACAGAACACGGCGGCGACAAGGTTACGACCGGTGCATGGAGCACCTGCGATGGCTATCAAGCAACAAAACTGGTAAAAACTCTGCAAGAATTTATTTCGGTTACTCCCGTTCTCTTCTTCTATAAATCCTAGCCTTCTCCATTCTCTACTTTCTGTACCAAATCTGCGGCGTCGATGTGAAGTTTGCCCTCATGTGGAGACGGCCGACGGCCTCTAGAACTTCCATACGATGGGCTATTGTTCGACAAGCAGATTGGAAATACAAGGAGCTTCGAAGAAGCTTTCCTTCGCTTCACTTGTTTATGTTTTCTATAATATAATTAATTCTATCTACCATGATATCAGATCTTCTCTAATAGCCTATTTGAATTAGTTATTTTGAATGTTAAAGATGTGGATAATTTTATTAAATTTAAGGTTCATGAACCGAGGAGATTCTTGTGACAATTAGCAGCAGCTTGTTCCTATTTGACGAGCGTCCACGTAGGTCAAGGGAGCCGTGTATCAGCCTCGTTCACATGAGAAAAAGTCGAGTTGTGTAAGAATGTACTGGTGAATAATTTACAGCAATTCACGCTAGATTACACACTTTTTTTTCGCTTATTTTGGCTTAAGAAATAGTACGGAAATTAAATTTTGCATTTGTTTTTTTGTTGATTTTTGGCGGAGGTGAATAATCTGGAGGATGCGCACGAGCTGATTGACACGGCAATTTTGACGGCGTGAAAGGAGAGCAAGCTGGCGTACATTAGCGTGAGCTGTAACTTGCCGGCCATCCCTCACCCAACATTTAGTCGCGAGCCTGTTCCGTTTTCGCTCTCCCTAAAGTAAGCTACAATCTCATTTTCTTCTGTTTCAGATCAATTTCTTGTGAATTATTCAAAATTTTGGAATCTTACTTTATTATACTTATTTTGATTTTTATTTTTTTTTTCAAATTTCAGAATCTTATTCATTAATTAGGCTGATTTTGATGGTCACCTCCGTATGTTTCTAGACTGAGCAATCATTGGGCCTGGAGGCTGCAGTCGAGGCTGCCATCCAATTCCTCAACAAAGCCGTGAAGCCTATCCTTGTCGGGGGCCCGCAACTCCGCGTGGCCCCTGCAACGCCTTTGTCCAGCAGGCAGATGCTTGCGGTTACCCACTAGCAGTCATGTGGTACCCAAAGCTATTCCAGTTGTACTTACCTTCTCAAGTAACATTTTCTTCAGTTTTATCCAATTTGCATACCTCGAAACTAATTTTCAAGAAATAATAATAAGCTGAACTATTTGTTTTATGTAATAATTGTAACCAAAGAATTATCCATCATTGTTCAACTCTTCAGAGAATTTCAAGGTTCGATTTTGCATTAAGAAAGATTACTCTGAGGACGTTGAAGCTCCTCTTTTGGGGAATTCTGCTACAAGGTATTTAATGATATATTTCCATAACATTTGATTGAAGGCAAGGTTTCACATTGAGGTATAAACATTTGATTTGGTAGTCTCCAAACATGCTTGCAACTTATCCAGGCTCGATTATGATGTTTATTAGTTATCGATATTAATTTTTTAATTGGCAGGAGGTTATTCTCATGCACCGGATCATTTAACTTATGGAGTCGACATGAATAAAATCCGATGGTTCGACATTCTCCAGGTCAGAAGAAGCTTCGTTTTATTTAATTTAAGAACCTTAATCACACTCTTTGCTTGTGTCTAATAATTTATTGTGCGTGTTCAAACAGCGAATAGCTTTGGTGTACTTTGTTGTGGCTTTAATAGAAACTCTGACCACCAAGCTCAAGTCGACAAGCCTAGAACCCGATCGTTGCTCAATTTTCACTGCCTACAAATGGCAATTGTAAACAACTTTCCCCAATTCCTCTTTTACCCTTTCAGCAAATTATCATTAAATTTGCGCCAATTTAATTTTTGCACTTTTTAGGATGGGTGGCTTTGTTACATTTGTGATCTACATGGTCACGACATTCTCTCTTTACGTACTGGATTGGAGTTTCGTGGTATACCACGATCAGAAGCCTGAAAAATTCAATGTAATAAGCTAAGAATTTTACTACACCAGTAATTTGTTGGTTAGTATAAAGAGAGTGAATTATGTTTAACTTGTTACAGCTGACAGATGCTTCCGGTTACCCGCTGGTAGATACTTGTTGGTTGCTGTCAGCTTTTTTCTCAGTCTTGTGTCTTGGTTCTATTATCTTTATTTTTATGAATGAATATGTTCTCCTGAAATATGTTTATTTGAACTGACATGGATGTACACCTCATTTGTTCCAGTTTGTACGAAGGCTTCTATATCTTCTTCTCTGCACAATATTTCATGTTTGACATCTCTATTCTTTTTATTATAAATATATCCAGATATCGACAGCTTCCTTGGAGAAGAATTCAAGATCCTGGTCAAGGTCCAGAACACCTTTGAGGTCATTGTCTAGACCAAGGGCTGATCTAGGTCGAGGTCTGGCTCTAGAGGTCGTGGCAGGTAAGTATGTAAGTTAATCATTCATATTGTGTTGACTGGAAAATATTCATCTTTTTATCGAACACTGAAACTTTCTTATATTCCATTACTTTCGAGTCAAACTTCACTTTCAAATGGTGACAACTGATAATATTTGTCAAGACTGGGCTGGAGATGCAGTAAAGAAAACGAAAAGACAAGGAGAAGAGTCTCTCTCTCTCTCTCTCTCTCTCTCTCTCTCTCTCTCTCTCTCTCTCTCTTCCCCCCTCCCCCCCATATCACGTACTTTGGTTCTTACTATGAGTTTGAAATTTAATGATTTCACTTAAAAAAAACTATTTGACACCATGTCATTTATTGCACGTTAGACTTGATATGTATTTAACTTCAAACATTTTGTTCTCCTGTTGACAAACAGAAGTTGGTGGAGCTTATATTGTTGGCGGCCAATAGCTGGTAGTAGGCAGGTCATCCTAAAAAGTAATTTTAGTGGATATATTAAACCATAAGAAAGATATAAAATTGTATTGAAAACTTGAATGTGCATAGTATAACATGTTATGACACTTACACGATATACAATGATTTCAAATTTGGGTTGCTCTTCCTTAAGAATGTGCAATTCTCAATAACTATCCACAAAACAGAGTAATCAAAATTTGGTAAAAAAAGTAGTGCTACATTTTGCTTCTTACACTTTCACTTATGCTTTTACCCACTATTATATTTTGTTTTTTATTTTTTAACTTTTATGCATTATTTAGTTCTATTGTTGTTTTGTTATGGTGGTCATTTGTGTTGGTTATGTGGGTTCCGATCTAGCATTTGAAATGCTAAATATTCACACTTAAATATTATTATATTGAATATCATGAGTTTAACATTAAAATAGGTCACTAAAAAATAGATATTCACAATTTTCCGCAAAGAGTACAATACATTTGAAAAAAGAAGTTGTTAGGTACATGATGTTTTTTGGTGCTATTTCCGCAAAGAGTACAATACATTTGTTTTTCAAATTTTTGAAATGAGAACTGGAGCCAGAAAACCTATTTAACCCTTGAGTTGTAGCTTTTAACTTTTTTGGGATCTTAGAGATGAAAAAGAGGTGGATCTAAAGGAGTGCCCATGATCAAAGTTCCGTCAACATAGCTCATTGGCTTTAGAAGGTATGTTCTAATTTTGATTGAATGTTTCATCCCCAGTTTTATAAATTCTCTACTTTATCATTTGTGGAAAAATTTATGTATGTTGTGTGTTTACTCTTTCATTAGTAATCAACTTACAACTATTTTCTTTGGAACTTGTGTGATTAGCTACTCTGCTCTGTATATGCATTCATCTTAAGTTACGTAAACAAGATAATTAAATTTACCTGTTTTCATTTGATTTGTACAGGAATAGATGAAGGTTGTTATGAACATGGGGCCTTGGCTTACTTATTACTCGGAATGTTGGTCAGGTTCAAGCACACAAGTCGTTTGTAGGCATAGACAGGTCTTATTTTATTCGTGTGCATATAAGCGCTTACCACTATTTTGTGATTTCGAAATGTTCCGTTGTAGGTTTTTGAAATTGAAAAGAATCTAAGGTTTTCCCATCCTATGATTCTCAAATGCGGAAGCATTCACGTAAATGGGTAGGGTATTTAAATTTCTATTCATTATACAATGGTTGAGAACAAAGTCAAGATCTGATATTTTTTGTGATTTGATAATCCTAGCCATTATAGTTCGTAAAGT